CTGTGGGGGAGATGGTAAACCAAGAGAGCCAAAATAGGTTCAAACACCACTTTCCATCCCAAGGCTGTGTTCTGTGTTTCTATCATTATAATGCCATTTGGTGCCCTCTCTAGAGTGGATGCATGATGGACGGCACATCCTGAATAGCCTGACATATCACTAAATCCACAGGAAGGGCCTTATTAGTGTGTACCGATCTAAACAGCAACATTCCCAGTCCTCATATGATCTTTACTGAATTACAAGGTATTGAGCAGGGATTGAATTGCAGCCTTCTCTGGACTGGAGCACAGAAGCTGGCTAATACGGCCCCAGGATTGCCAAATAACAGTCTAGGGCAGAGAATGGAGACAGAAATCAAAGCTAAATAGAGAAGGGCAGTCCAGCCGCTATTGCACTGGAGTAGAAATCAGAGGAGTGCAGTTCTTAGCCAAATACTGACAAAGACTGTCTGTGATCACAGACAGGCCACTGAATCACTCTGTGTCTTGTTTCCCTCTATAAAACCAGAATGAAAGTAGTTCCCTTCATTTTGTGTAATTAACCTTTGAGCTTCTGCAGGTGGTGACTGGTAATACATGCGTACAAGGGGATTTACATGCTGGGTAGGGTACAGTGTTACCCAAATGATATAAAAATTCCACCGCCTACCCCCACTCCAGCACTCAGCTCATTGCCTGATTCTCCTCCCAGGAAAGGAGTTGTCTGTGAGTGTGCTTTGGAAGTAGAGGTCCTGGGTTCATTCCTCGGCAGTAATCCTGACAGGGACTTACCAATACTGATCATTAAAGCAGCAGAGGAATTAGGGGATGGAATGCAATGACCAGGATTTGCTTGCCACAGCTAGTGGTATAAGCTCTCAAAAGTCTGGTGAGCAGGTAGGGTTAAAGGAAATGCATCAGAACCACTCACCCAGGCAGAGTTGGACTGGTTCAACTGGTTAAGCATGATGATGGAGGTGCAGCCGTAGTCATACACCAGCCTCCAGAAGTCTGTCACGGTGTTCTGCAGTGGGTGCAGGGTGACAATGAAGGCAGCGCTTTTGGTGTAACTCTAAAAGGACAGAAGGAAAGCACAGACAGGATAAGACCCACCAACCTCTTTAAAGCAACACAGCTGATAGGGGCAAAGACAGCAGAAATATGCCCCCAAAAGCACTCCAAAAAAAGGATGGTTTTGTAGTTAAGGCACTGAACCAAGACATGGGAGATTAGGGGTCACTGCCCAGCTCTGCTGCAGGCTTCTTCTGTAACCATGGACCTCCCAGACCAAACCTCATGCAGGCAGCTTCCCTGGGCAACTCCTGAAAACCATCAGGCCTTCTTCATTTAGTCACTGGTCGGGTCCAACTGACCTCCATGGTGACCAGACCAGGCGTCAAAACCCCTATTACAGTGAAAGGCACCATAGTGGCGCAAAGTTGACCAGCTGGCACCGTACCATACATAGTGTATTCCAGCCTGATTCTGCTCTTACCAAAAGCAGATATGCATTGGCTTGATTTCACTGATTTCCATGGAGCTATTCCTGATTTACACTAGAATACAGAAAATCAGAATCAGGCTCCAGAAGATTTGGCCCCATTTCAGGGTGGTCTTTTAAGGCTGGAGATTACTTTAAAAGCGTGGCTTCTCAGACTGCTTCCACACAGCAGGACAGACAAGTACAAGGGGCCAGATCATTTGCTGGTGTAAATCAGGAGGCTCTATGGACTTCAGTGGTGCTGGTTTAATTGACACCAGCTGAATACCTAGCCTAAGGACCTTTGCCGTGCTGAGCTTCAGCCCAGTGCTTTAACCATCAGTTACAACTCCCTAACTCTCAGGCCAGGATGTGGTGCTTGCAGGAGCCGCTTATACCAGCTGCCTACACTCAGAGGGACTGTGGTCAGCCAACTACACCAGCATTCAACACACCGCGGTCAGGTCTGTTCCTCCCTCTCCCTGCCCCATCACATCTCCCCTATACTGGGCCTAATCATCTGGGGCTCTGAGAGGAGCTAGGTATGGGAGCGTCTGGCATGCCAAGAGTACTCTCAGTGTCTACCTCTAGCTGGTTTCTGGTCCCATTGCAACACTCAGGACACAGAGACACAGATGCTGAGGAACTGAGGAACCCCATTGTGATCTCACGCTGCTGTAGATCAGCAGTGACTCCACTGAAATTAACTGTGACATCAGTGGAAGTAAAAAGAGGACTGGGCCCAGAAGATCAAAGAGGCATTTCTTCATTTCAGACTCATCCTCAGCAAGCCAGAAGTTTTAAAAAAAATAAATCCCAGTGCTCTTTCAGCACCACAATATCCCTAGGTGGGTGGAGGGGGACACTTCCTTCTCATTCTCAGATCTCTCAGAAATAGACATCCACCCACCTAAGCAGAAAGAAGAAAACACCTTTGATCCAAGAATAAGCACAAGAAGTGTCAGCTGGATGGATCTGTGCTTTTTTTTCCCCTCCCTCCAAAAAGTTACACATGCTGAATATCGGGGACACAGAATGAAAGTGCCTCTCAACTCTTCACTACAGCATCACCACTACGGCACTGCAATATCTATGGAGGCCGAAAGGAGCAAAAATGCAAGGCGTGCCAAAGGCAGAGAGACACCACCAGGGCTCAACTACTTGCAAACATTTTCTTAGAGGGGAAAAAATAGCATGAATCCCTTCCCCCACTTTTTCAGTGTAAGCAAAAAAAAAAAAAGAAAGAAAGAAAAAAGCACTTCTCCTTAGCGCTTCACAAGCAGCAAGTGCTTTTAGGGGCACCTGACAAGAGAGTGAATGCAGAGTGGAGTGTTTTACAGCTTTGTTCATTGGTTCTCTTCTCCCACCAAAGGGCTCTTGAAACAACACTCGTGAGCACAAATGACAAGCTCTCTGCACTTAGAGAACATCTCAGAGCCTCCAGGTTCCTCCTTGCGTAGTTATTTTTCTGTGAAATATCTTCCCTGTCAATTCCCCTGGGATTTTGGCTTGATTAGTGTCTGCTTTCTTAAGACACCGATGAGTTTAAAAAAAACAAAAGGGAGTAGGGAGTAGGAGAGGGAACAAAAGTTCAAAAATGGATTTTTGGGGATGAAATGACTTTTTTCAAGCACATCCTTTTGAAAATGAAAAAATAGGTGCAGAGAATAGGGGCTTGTTAGGAAAGAAAATTGTACAGCCTGGCACCCTTATGAGCACAATCCATGCTAACCTAACTATGCCCAGTCCACAAGCTGTGGGGACCACAAATCGGGGACAAAAATGAGGTTCATCAGCACTGTTGCCCCAAGTGAAGAGATTGTGGATAACATTTCTCTAGTGAGCAAGGATTCATGTGAACAATTCAGCAGTTCAAAAGGTTTCCACAGTTCAAAAGGCAAGAAACGCATCTAGGCTGGAACTGTAAAATGCCGTGTTAGAAACGCTAGAAACAACAAGACTTTATACTTCTGGCCCTGATCAAAGTGGGTTTAAACACGTGCTTAACTAATACTACAAGTTATTCCACTGAAAGTAAAGACTGCTCATAGACTTAAGGCACACATGTGCACACCTCAAGCTATATATTCTCATTCAAGGTACTGGTGGGTTTCAAATATTATGCAACATGGTGCTTTTTACATTGTAGATCACATTTACATAATCTAAATCTAGGCTGGTAGTGACAGTGCGGGAACAGCTGAAGGCTGTTCAGTGGCTCAGCTGAGAGGAGGGTGTGATGTCCACATGAATTATAACTGGGGATGCCCCATGAGGTGGGCTGAGGTTCAGCCACATGATTTCAGCATGAATACAAGATTTGCCACCCTGTTCCCTGGGACAGGAGAGACTTGACTGCTGTAATTACAAGGCATTTGCTGTAGCTCTTGTAAAGGGCTAACTGTCTCACAGAGTATGTCCACCCCACTAACCCAGCTTTCTCAGGGAGGGTTGCTCCCAACACACCCCACCCTTCCACTCCATCTTGCACTTTTCAAACCCAAAACTACACCAGTGAAGCTGCTTTGGAGGCTTTCCCTATAGAGGTCTCAAAGCAACGTCCCTGAATCCATTCACCACCATGTTACCAGGTGGCATACATGAGTGGGAGCAAACAAGGAGTGTCTTCTCCTCCTAAGAGCAGTGGGGGACATGGTGTAGGGGAACCCACCGAGGAAGTGGATTTCGACCCTGTTTGGAACAAAACCTGAAACACTTGAAGCTCTCTGCGAGAGTGAATCTTGAATCCTGGAAGACTTAAACTAGCCATCTTAGCTGGCAGCTTCTAAGCCCCAGAAGTCCTAGGGAAGCTCAGCAAGCAGAGGTCTGAGAAATTTGCCAAAATAGAAACACAGCAATTTCAACAAATCAGCAAATTCCAAAGTAGAGCATGCTTCCTTGGAGTTATTTTGACCAGCTCTAGTGTTTGGGCAATTTGAATGCCTGACTGCATTAATATAACCCAACGTCCCATGGGAGACAACAGAATTGTACCGTGGGCTTCAGAGGAGGCTCACTGATTTACACTAGCTGTGAGCCTGGTCCATATGGTATGACATTAGCACGTTCATGAGAAGGCCAGCATGTGTGTTAGCATTGCTTTCCCTGATCCCAGCCCTTGACAGAGGTCTCATTGCTCATCTAGCCATGTAAGCAGCACCATCAGCTCTCACAGCTCAGACAGCTCCCGAGCAGCTGCTCCTGCAACAAACACAAATCCCCGCACCCTCAAATGCAGCACTTGTCAAAAGCTGGCAAGGATCTCTCAAGACGCAAGCTCCTCTTTCTGCTTCCTTGAAGGAGCTCTTCACCTGACAAGCAGCATGCTGGATACAGTGACATGCACCAGCACTCAGAAGTATGAGAGATGGCATCTATTCATTATCCACTTCTCCAGTTTGTTACTGCTTACCAGGGACCCTGCCACACACTCCCGGGAAGGATCATGCTGGCAGCTTTCACCTTCAATTTCTCCTGCTCCTTCCCACCCCTGCTCTTTTGTTAGACATATTTACAATAACAGAGCATGTCACTCCAGCTTGTGCAGCGGCAAATATTTTTTGCGCATAATGGATTTCTTTCCCGTAGCTGGGAAAAGGAAAGGGAAAACCAAACCTTCAAAGTTACTTCTGTATGTTGCCAACTTGTCTTGCCCAGCAATAAACTGACACAGGGGCTGGTTAGTGCTACCGCCAGTCTGTGTGCAAAGTAAAGTAGCCTGAGCCTGTTGCAAAGAAATGACATGTTGGCCTTAGTCCTACATTTCGTTTGTGAATACATCTTAATTGCTATCCTAAGTATCTGCAGGATAAGCTAGGATCAGTTGTGATGTCTTGTGCTCAAAGAGGCAGGAATCAACTAACACCGATATGATAAATGTAACTGGGAAAGGCAATGGATTGGGACTCAACATGAACTCTCAGCTCTGCCACAGGCTGCATACAAGACTCCTGGACAAGTCACTTCATCTCTTGTTCCACTAGAGACCTGCTGTGAAACGGCGAGATTTCCTTTCACCCATACTTCTTCTGTATCATTTATTTAGCTTGTCTCTAAGGGGCTGTTCCAGCTGTCTGTACTGTGCCTAGCACAATGAGCCCTGATCTTGTCTAGAGCTGTTAGGCTGTACTGAAATCCCAATAAACAGAGTAAATAACATTCATATATAAACACAATCAAAAGACCCAGTTCCTATTTAACATGCTTGTGCAGCTCAAGCCTTCTCAGAATATAAATAAAATAGCAACCTCTTAAAAAAGTAAAAGTTATGCCCCTGGTTTTGTACAGCACTCAGTTAACAGCAAGTCCCCCAACAGCTGTATGAAACCCATTATGGCCTCAATCATGGCAATGCCTCCACTTAACAGACATTGCCTTTCATGTATCCATCCCTCTGCTGCATATTACTTTTGCTGCAGCAGAAGGCTATTTCTTTATCCAGATGAAATTAATTGATTGTAAGCTGCATTTTGCATCCTAACAAATAGGTGTTTGGGCTTTAACAGCCAGCATCCCAATCGGCATGACCTGCCCCCTCAGCAGGCAGAAAAGAAAGCAGGTCAGTGGCCAGGGTATCATATGAGAAACCTGGGCTCCGTACCCTGCTCTGCCATCATGTCATGTGATCTTGGGAAAGGTGCATGAAGCCAAAATCCAAAAACAACTATTACTGCAGAAGTCTAAGTGAACACCCCAAAAAACCCTCAATGAAGCACCCAGCCTGTCATTGTGAATAAGGGGTCCCTTCACCTCTCCTCTGATGGGCCCAGTCAGGTTGGCATGCTCCAGGCACACCTAACACACCCTGGCAGGACTGAGTGCAGCAGCCATGGTCGCTTTTATTCATGAAGGTGGTTATACCATTCACCCAGATGTGGGCCTCTGCTTTAGGCCCTTCTGAACTGGTAGGTGCTCAAACCCACATCTCCCAGGAGAGGCTATGGGCTGAGCTGAGGGAAACTTTCTTATCAAAGCAGGGCTGCTGGGCAGCAACGTGTGACTAGAGAGAATAAGAGGGACCGTGACTCTGTAGTCCAGTGATGGGAGGGGGGAGACCTGGGTTTAGGTGTCTGCCCTGGGGACTGCTCATGCAGTAAGAAGTCATTGGATAAATGCATACACAGTGACGGAAACACAACTTCCCCCTACTGGTGTTGCTACACCTAAGTCCCTTTGCCTGTACCTTACCCTGCCTCTGCCTCAGTTCCCAGTGTGGATAATAGCTAGGGCTGCGCAAAATTTTGGCAGCCATTTCATTTTGGAGGTGTTTGGGCCCATTTTGGAAATGTTTTGGAGGCACCCCCCCCCCAAGGAATTGTCCAGCACAGCCCCACAGCTCTCCTTTTAAAGTGTCAGAGGCTGGGGCCGGGGGTGGCGATGGGGCCAGGCAGGGCAGCTATGGAGGCTCCCCCTGCGGCTCCCCCAGCCAGGGCAGAGGCAAGCACAGCCAGAGGAGCCACAGGAGAGCCCACAGTCGCCCAGCTGTGCCTGCCTCTCCCCAGTCAATCCAAATCTCCAAATCAGCACTGAAACGCCAAAACAGCTTCGGCTGAATCGAAACAGACCAGTGATCCGAAACACCAAAACGAATCACTGTCCTCTGAAATGGCTGAATCCGAAACCGAAACGAAACATAGCCATTTCGCACAGCTGTAATAATAGCACGGCCCTGACTCGGAGGCCTGCTGGGTGAGGATTGTCGCACTGATGACTGAATGCCAATGGGACCCTAAAAGTACCAGAGATGCAGTGAGGATACCACAGAAAGTGAACTTCCTCCCCCACTTAAGATTGCTCCAGGAAGGGTTAGAGGTGTTTGCGTGGCTGCAAACCACGCTGCTCCCCTCTTTTGCAAGTATCCAGAGCAAATGGTATCTAGAGCCAATTCACTGCTGCTTTATGCGATCCCTTGCCAGATCAACACAATGAGCATGTCGTACCTGCACGGCATACACTTTGCATGGGGACAAATGTCATGCACTGCAGAGATGATGAATAGATCCCCAAGTTTGTCAGACTCCCTCCAGCCTCCAAAATGCCACCATGCTTAGAGGACCATGGTGACGGGCATTATCTAAAAATCCACTCTGCAGACAGACTGATCGACCTTCTCTGGAACTTAAAGAAAATTAAATTCCTTTAGAAAAAGGGAAATGGATTTCTCCTTTTGGCGAGATTTTTTTTTCCCCTGAAAGGTTTTGCTGCTTGAAAAGAAAATACTGTTCCCTAACTCAGGCTGTTCCTCTAGCAGAGCTCCAGTGATACAAAAAATACCCCCAAACAAAGTTCATATTCTGTATCAGCCAAAGCCTCAAGCCTTCCTAGAATCGCTGGCTGGTGCTACAGAGCCATTCTCCCCAGCTGCCTCTGGTTTATGAACTGAGTGTGCTGCAAGTGAAAGCAGATAACAGGGAGACAAGATCTGTATGAAGACGTAATGTGATAAATTGCCTATAGGGTGAAAAATGCAGAGCTCAGCTGGACTGCCTCAGTACCCAGATGTAATCAGAAGTGCTACATGAATCCAAGGGATGGGGTGTGGGATACTGCTCTGAGCAAACACATTATGTGATGGGCTTTGATTCAGTGCTGCCAGGATGTGGGACATCAGAATACCCTGGCTAGTTTCAAAAAGGCAAAGCACTTTCAATGATAAATGACCCATCCCTTCATTCCAGAGGCAGTGCGCTTGGAGCTTCCAGCCTTCTGTGTCCTTTCTGCTTCATTTTGCAATTCCCTGTGCCTGTGAAGAAAACTAGTCCATTAGGTAACTTCTGAATGCTTTCTGATTGGGATTGAGAGGGCAGTGGGACACAGAGGGACAGTGCCAGTTCTGTACCCATTTGCCAATTCTTGGGAGTTAGGTCTGTGGAGTCCACACAGGGGTAACACAGCTCAGTGTGCAAGGCACATGCTTGGGAGACAGAAAACCAGGCAATGACCATTACCTGCTGCGATTCCTACCACCCATCTGTGCATCAGAGTCATCATCACATAAATGAAGATCAAGATACTGGCCTTCTTTTGTACCTGGCTTTTGAGAACTACAGATGAAAAGCTCAGTAGGAGAAGGAAGTGTGACCACATGGAGAACCCAGTGAAAAACCCAATTTATAGCCAGCCTAACGTCCCCACCCCCACTTCCTCCCTTCCATCCTATATTTCTTTTCTCTATATAAATCACCCACTAGTACAATATCTAAGCCTATGTATATACATATATACATATACAAATACACATACACACACATATAGCTCACCTTTTTCTCTCTCTGTCACTCTCACTCTCTTGCTCTCTGTCTTTCCTTCCTGGAACTTTGGGGGCTTGCATAAAATAAGGCTGGGATTTGGATTATTCCTACATTTTGTTCTGAACAGCTAAGGCACAAGACTGAAGGAGATTTCAGGAAACAAAGCCCAGCAGGGCTGTCTGTGCCCAGATGATGAGCAAGTCATGTCACTTCATCACCTGCACTCCTCTCTAAGCAGAAGCTCCCTGCATGCCAAAAGGCTCACTGGCATATTGGAAGACACTTAGTGATTCAGGGCCTTAGTTCTGCTAAATAATTTTGTCACCATATCTGGGGTCTCATAACTTAAGGACCCAATTGTCTGTGACCTTTTAACAGAGGTGGGAAAGGGGAGGATCATCTATACCTAGCTACAGTGAGATGCTACCTCCTTTAATGCCACCTACTCTGAACTAGTCAAGAGTCCACACCTATTCTGTACAGGTGTAAGTGAAGCCACTGGATGCAAACCAAGGAAAAATAAGACCCAGGGTCACAAGCAGCAGAGAAAGTAAGAACTACGCTTAGACTTGGGCACTGGCCCATCTCCCCTCAGACCAGAGAGCTCCCCAAAAGCACACTCACATCAGTTAAGGCCGCGTTGATGTAGTTGTTACTGTCCCCGTCCACAGAGATGAGGAAGGGAAGGCATCGGTCCGGAGGCAGGACATCCATGCTGCGGTTCTTCTCCCGGTTGCGTGGCAGGAGGGCGATGCTGCACTCCTCCACATCCAGGTGGGGTGTGACTGAGTTCAGGGTCTGTGAGGCACAGGATGCTCATGTTAATAGGTGCAACAGCCCATCTCTCTCCAAAGCAGAGTCTCCTCTATGAGGCTCCCTGCACCTTGAGGTCTCAGCAGATCTCCCCTCCTCATGCAGAACAAGCATTAAGTGGAGCCTTGAGGAAGGAAAGTGAGAAAAGGCCCCCTTATGGGAGCCTGGTAGCAGCTCACTCAGCCACCTCTGTGCTCCTGGCTTCCTACAGGTGGACACTAGCAGTGAGCATGGGGTAGGGATAATGAAGGGAAGGGGAATTTGGCGTTAGGAGCACAGGAGAAGCCCTGTGGTCTTTGTCTGCTTAATTGTTAGAAATCTGTTATCCAAGGAGAGCTTCAGAGTATTTCTGAGGCCTGCCAAGAGTGAATATGGCCCCCGGTCCTGGAAGCCTTGTTGGAGCTCACCTGGAACTCCTCCCGCAGCTGCGAGGAGTTGCTCTGTGGTTCTATCCTGACCATCTCCTTGTATGTTGGCTTGAATTCGCTGACCAGGATGCTGGTCTCCCCACACAGACAGGCTTCCAAGATGGCATCATGGATGAAGACATATTGCTCCTTCAGTGTGGGACAGGAAAGCAGATTTAGCTGTGGCAGGAGCTAAGGAAGGCCTATTCTCCCCTTTTCATCACACACAAGAGGTCTCCCAGGCACTGGGCACCACAAGGACCCTCCTTTTGTCACATATATTTGTACGGCGTAAACTTTCTCTCTACTGCCCGGAGCTGGCTCTGATACTTGAAGAAGTGGTCTGCCATTAGCCCACTCTAAAGGACTAAGCTAGGTGCCCATGGCTCTCCACAGCTTCCAGGCACTGCCATGTTTGCTGAGGCCATTCCTGAGAGGGCACTGCAGGGCCATGGTAGCAGGACAGGGATTCTTGTTTCCCAGGGAACATTAATGGACATTACAGTGACAAACCAGTGACCTGTGAGGCTGGAAGGCTTGTAAGATTGGGTGTGAGGGTGTCATTCATAGCTAGGCTAAGGATAACTGGTCACCTAGGTTTCAGATGCAGTCTTGTGAACTGCAAAAAAAGTATTTTAATTAACTTGGGGAGGGAATATCACTTCCTCTGTCACTGCCAGCAAAGTAGCAATGGCAGCAAGGACAAGGTAAGACTACAGCCTTAAGCCTCAAGCCAGGCTTCATGCCTGTCATGGGACACACAAAAGCAGAGGACTTGGGGGTAGGGAAGGAGTCTAGTGTGGGGTTGGGGTCTGGATACTAACATGATGAAAACCTTATTAATGGCTATGTAACATCTATGCTTCTAATTAATTAGGATTAACAATCAGCATTAGGACAATGATTTTAATTGGAGCAGTCTGTGGTCCCTCTTATGACTGCTCACTCAAACCCAGGTCTTAGGAGAATTTGGTGAGAGAAACACACAAATCTCCTTTATGTACATCAAAGACCAGGCCTATTTTTTTCTCTGGCAGCACCTACAGTACCTCTATGGAGAGGAGAGGCCAACAGACTGCACTGAATGCCAGGCCCAGTAGACCCATGGCTAAAAAGCAGAAGAACAAAATCTTTCCACCCCCAATCTCTCTCCTCACTTCAGTCTGTATCATGTTGATTCTCCGTGAGCACAGTGTCTTCACGCAGTTGTAAATGTCCACGACTCCCTCGCACTCAGCCATGTCCAGCATCACATCCAGGACAATGTAACAACCAGTCCTCCCAGTACCAGCACTGGGGGAAAGGCAGAGGAAATCAGAGAAAGAGAAAGAGAGAAAGGTGTAATTAACATTATGCAGGTATAAAATCAGTGAAGTTAAATGACAGTGTGCCTACATGCGCATATGACATACAGACACATGCACTGTATTCTGCCCACGCCCAAACGTGGAAATAGTCACATGAACCAGATCAAATGTTAGGTACAAGCAAGCCCCTCTAGGATGGCAGCTGAAAGGAATTTAGAGTCTACACAGTTTACCCAGACTCACAGCCCCACTTTGGCCCTCTTTTTCCACCACAGAAAAACTTCTCCGTTTTGGAGGGGCTCTAGAACTGGGGTGTCTTGTTCAGATGGGGTGTGGGTTAAGAGCCTGGGCTCCATGAAAACCCTCTAACTTTACAGTGAGGTGCACACAACAAAATCACTACAGTGCTGCGAGTGCCCGGTGCCTTCTCACAGCCCTCTACAAAGGCAAAGAGAGGTTCTTTCAATTGACACAACCGACTAGGTAAGACTCCTAGAGCATCTGAGAAAGAACCACAGGCCTCTCCCCAGGCACATATAGGTGAATGGAAAAACAATGAGGATACAATCATGTGAATCACTGAAGACGATCACACCTGAGCTCAGCTCTGAGTGCCAGTCACATGACTTAATTGTGACGTGTAGATGTAGTGTTGGAAGCATCCCAGCACTGACCGCCACACTTGTCCTTTCCATGCGACTCCACCAGTCTGAGCAATGTCAGCCCTTGGCCGTTCTGGGAACAGATCTGTTCCCCTTTTCTCTTTTCAGAGTCTTTTACAGTGAAATACTAATTTCTGGGGCTGAGGAATCACTCTCTGTGATTATCAGTGATTACAGACTACAGGAAATAATCACACTCGTTGTTACTGGTGAATGAATACTGATGAGGCAATTGACAAGGAGAAATCAAATAAAAAATCCCTCTCATTCATCATCTCCTCCTTGTTTGCCCAGCAGAGGACAAGCCATTAACCTGTCAAGGGAAGGCTTTGTCAACTATTCTGGGTGCCCCTTAAGTTTCTCCTGCATGGCAAGATGCCCAGAGTTCTCCTTTTTGTTCTTGCAAGTTAAGCAGCTATCAGCATGGTCAGTCCTTGAATGGGAGACTGCCAAGAAACCCCAAATGCATGCTAAAACAAATGGTGTGGGTGATACAGTCTGGGGAGCTCTTCCCTGGAAACAAAACTCCATTGGATCAAGGAAAGGAGGCAGTGCAGGGATAAGGTGCTGGACTGTGCTCCTGAAAGGGCCATCTTTGGGGGAGATGTACAACCCTGGTCCCAACTGTCTTCTGCTGTTAAAAAAAATGGCCCTTTTCATGAGAATGAGAGGACAAACCCTGGTGTCCTGGCCAGGTCCCAGCTTGGGCAATCATATTCTAATTTTCTAAATACCACCTGCACTCCTAGTCAGATATAAACTTCCTCTTCACATCCTGTCCTAAGCTTCTGAGCCACTTTGCTGTGTATTTAGCAGCTGCCTTGCTCTGTCCCGGAGGTAGCTGCATTTTGAGGAAGGTTTACAGATCAAAGAAAGAATTTTCCATCTGCTGGCGCTTGAACAGTTCTTATGAAATTATTTTTTGCTCTTAATTCTGTGGTTATGTACGACGGTCTGTCCACATGACTACAGCTGGGAATAGTGTCCTCCTTAGTAAGTCTCAGTAGAGCAGGCGTGGACTGAATTGGCCAGACTGCTCTGCTGTCACATACTATGGGGTGTCCCACAGCGAGGTTAAAATGTGCTGGACTGGGGGGCCATGTTGGAAACATGGCATGGGGAGAGAGGGAGCTAACCCATTTCTGCCTATTCTGGACCTGTACTGAAGCTGAAGAGGGGGTGTGCAGCCTCTACATGTGCAAGAAGACCCTCAGTGAAGCATACTAAGCCATGAGTGCCTGAAATGCATAGTCTACTGGCTGCCTCCTATTTCAGAGAAAGCTGCTAGCCCTCTGAATCCCTGTTACCCATCAGCCTAGGTAATAACATTTTATAGCTCAATACATTCACACAGGCACATCCAACCCAGAGCCATAAACCAGAGGCTCCTTACCTGCCTCAGCCTTCCCTTTTTTTACAGAGCCAATTTATAGATTTCATATTCCCCTGTTAAATATTTTAGTCTAATTTCATATTTCTTATGCTCCAGGCCATGGGACCCTGGGACAAGCCTCCACCTAGGCAGTTCCCCCTTCCCACATGGCCCGAGCACAAGCAGGTCCAAAGGAGTTCAGGGGGGAAGGGCGAGCTCCAGGCTTTGGCTCTACTCCAGAGTGGGATGGGATTTATACTGGCAGCCAGGGACCTTTCATAGATTTCATAGACATTAGGGCTGGAAGGGACCTCAGAAGATCATCGAGTCCAGCCCCCTGCCCAAAGGGCAGGAAGTCAGCTGGGGTCATAGGATCCCAGCAAGATGAGCATCCAGTTTGCTCTTGAAGGTGTTCAATGTGGGCACTTGAACCACCTCCGGTGGCAGGCTGTTCCAGACCTTGGGGGCTCGGACAGTAAAGAAGTTCTTCCTTATGTCCAGCCTGAAACGATCTTGAAGTAGTTTGTGACCATTAGACCTCGTCATCCCTTGGGGCGCTCTGGTGAACAAACGTTCCCCCAGATGCTGGTGGTCACCCCTGATAAACTTGTAGGTGGCCATCAGATCACCCCTGAGCCTGCGCTTTTCCAGGCTAAAGAGCCCCAGGGCTCTCAGCCTGTCATCGTAGGGTCTGCTTCCCTGACCTCTGATCATGCACGTGGCTCTTCTCTGGACTCTCTCAAGCTTCTCCACATCCTTTTTGAATTGTGGAGCCCAAAACTGGACACAGTACTCCAGCTGCGGCCTCACTAAGGCCGAGTACAGGGGGAGAATGACGTCCCGGGATTTGCTTGAGAAGCATCTATGGATGCAAGCCAGCGTTCCCGGGATTTGCTTGAGATCATCGAGTCTGACCCCCTGCATAGGCAGGGAAGAGTGCTGGGTG